AGAGCAAAGCGTCGGGCCCTTGTATACCTCTTTTGGTTTGAACGATTTTAGCTGCTGTTGCGCCTGTGAACTGTTGCTTTATAAGTGACCCAACTCGCCCAGGCAGATCGCAAACAGACTCAGCAGCTTGGAGTTTGACCAACGATCTGCTCATTTCTGTCTTTCCGTTAGCACCTCTGTTCAGCTAGGCAGTTTTTCAGCAAAGCCTTGTAACGGTTTCTTTTTCACCAACGGTTTTCCCCCTGCCTCTTCCATCCGCAAGATAGCAAGGATCATTGGTTCTATCTTCGAACTCACAGCCTAGCTGGATTTCGAGGACCAATTTCCAGGTTCCTTTGTCGAATAGTTTGATAGAGCCCACGCATGGGCTTCGGGTGTTGATAGAACCAGAGAGAGCCCAGCTCTCTCCTCTTCGATGCTTCACCCGAACAACTCAGTTCCAGACTTAGCTTCTCTTGGACCATCGTGAGCATCCTAGGTTGTAGTTCACCATTTCCATGCACAGAATAGGCCTTGGTCATTCAGCCACTCGAACCTGACTTAAATCACCTCGCTACCCAACGGGTTCCCTTGGCTGCCATCTGATCCTCTTCCCCTTCGGATGTCAAGGCCTTTGGAAGCTCGGGTGGGGTAACATCCTGAAAGTCCTTCACAGCCTGAACACCTTCAGAGAGAAGTTTAAAATCTTACCGTTACACTCTTGGTTGACCCGGCAACCTCTTTCCCAAGCAAGAGCATCTGTGATCCAAACGCCACTTGTGGCTCACGGTTTTCACTATTTAGAGGACCCTTCGACTGTTATTCTTCGGGCAACTCGGCTCCATTGAGTTGATCAAAAACGAGCACAGTAGTAGGGAGTTCAACCCATCCTCTATTTGCCCCTGTTTTTTGAACAGGCGGTTCTGTTTTGGTTTGCAACGGAGAACAGCTCACTGTGGTTGACTCCCATTTGCCCAAACCTACTCCCTCTGCTTCGTTGGCCTGCCGAACAGCATGGAATGTCGGTTCTTTCTCTCCTTAGCCTCGGCTGAGTTGTTTAGCCGAAATTCCTTCCTGGTCTGTCGCTCGGCCTAGTGATTAGGTTGACCCATTTTGCCATTTGCTTGCTTCCAGATTGGGAGCATCATTTGCTCTCATGCTCCTGCAAGTGCCCAAGAAAGCTACCCTTTCCTCGAGCTTCTTCCCCCTAGATGCCAACTTGGGCTTCTTGGGACACTCATGGGCGGCGTGTGGTCCAGCAGAGAGGTAGCACCCGAGAACTGGCTGTCTCTGTCTGGCCTTTCTGAACTCACCTCCAATTTGCTTTTGGTCGTGCCCCTAACTCCCATACTTGAGGACCAACAACTTGTTGCGCCTAGGAGCTATCTCATCCCCAAGGTCAGCTGACCTATCTCCCTTCCGCGGAGACTTCTGGCAGGCATCACCTTTGCTCAGGCCAAGCACATGCGACTTGCCTTTCCTCCCTGGTTCTGCTCGGTCAAAGGGTCCCTCCATCCGGACAGCCACCAAACAAGCTACTTGAACTTCCCATTACTTGCCGACGTCGCTTCTAGTCAGGTGAAGCTCTTCTAGCTCACCGTTTTTCCTAGGTTCGACTCGACTCACCAACACTCCAACGTTCTGCCCTTGCTTCTTGTTCAGCCAGCCCACCTCACCTTGCAAACCCACAACTACCTTGCCTCCCATCGAGACAGTCCTTGGCTCCAAGGTTCCTCTGTCGTGGCAAGGCATCAACAGTTTTGCCAACGGGGTCCTTTACCTCTCCGAGGTTGGACTTGCTCCGAGCAGCATCTTGGACACCACCAGGCCCCCTCTCCTGCTTAGCTCGTTGGGGTTGGAATGACAGCAATTGCCTCAACCTTTCCAACGCACTGAGTCCCTTAGGCAGTCGGGAACTCCCACAAACACGGTTTTGCACCACCAGACATAGTGAAGCACGTGTCGGTAGGGTGATGAACTGAATAGAGCACACTTAAGGTAGAGAAACAGAGCACTCAACCTACTCTGATGCCAACTGTGGCGGCTCGTCTCGCACAAGCCACCCGTCCGGCAACCCGCAAAGACTAACGGCTAAGTGTTTTTCCAAACAGCCTGTCGGCTCTCCACAGTTTTCAGTCTTTCCAACACGCCGAGTTCCCTCACCTCTCTCTCTCTCTCTCTCTCTCTCATCGCGCGCGCGCGCGCGAAAAGCAATGAAACACAACATGCAAAACTGGAATGCAAACTAAAAGACAGAAAATAGAGATGCGGGGGAAATCGTGACTTTCGGGTTTTTATTAAGCGTCGAAAGTCCAAATCTGATCCTTGACTGGTTAAGATTACATGTATGTAAGGAAAGTGGCGGCCCCTCCTCTGTACAAATTGATTTTCCATGCAAATTATTGGCTCCCTGGTTTTAGGAGTCGTTACAATTCAAATTTAAACAATAAAATACAATCAAATGCAAGTGGGTGTGAGCTCTCGGCCAATCAGCTTCCAAGGTTGAAAAGTCAACCTCGTTTTGCAATCAATTCTCGCTTGGAAGCTGCCTGGAAGCTGTCCCTCAACAATAAATGTCTCTCACATCCATTTGCATGCAAAGCTTCCCGCCTGGACAAATTTCCATGCAAGTCGCAGCTTTGCCGACCGTGCGGGGAACCTCCTGGTTCTGTTTTAGTCTCATGCCAACTGAGACATGATTGGCTTTGCTTACAGCTAGCAGTTCCTTTTTGGGATGGGAACAACTTTTTTCCCATGCAAATTCCATGTGCAAAGCAGCAGCCTCCCTTTTGTCTTCCCGCTCAGTAAACCGGCCCAAGCCCTCCTGTCGTGAATCAGGTTATGGAAGGTTTTTTTTTTAAATTAATTATAAAGATAAAACCGGGTAATGTTGACATTTTGACCCTATTTGAGAGCCCATTTTAAATTGGCTCCAAGCACTTTGGCTCCTGAGAGTTTACCTCCAGAGGGGTGAAGAGAGTAGCAACATACTCTCTTGTCCGGGACGAGCGGCTGGTTGGTTATAGGTTTAGACATTTTATTTTCTTAAATAAAATTGTGTTCAAATTTTGTATATAAAAATATTTTTATAGAGAAATTTTTGATTTTTTCATAAAATTTTAGTTAACTTGAATTAAATTAATTAAAGCATAATAATTTTTGAATGCTGGTGATTTTAATAAAAAAACTTTTTAGAGAGAGTTTCATCAATCCTTGTAAAAAAAAATTTTGTTGTTTTTTGAAAATATAAAATTAATGTAATGAAATTGAGATGATGGATAAAAATTGTTTTAAATATTTATTAATTTTTTTATATTTTAAAATTTTATTTTATTTAAATTATTTCCTTTAAACTCACTTTTATTTTTTAAATTCATCTTTCTCCAACTACAATTTTTAAAGCTACGTACTTTCAAGGGAAAAAACTCGGCCCCTGCCAACTCCTTCTGCCACGTTTGTGATGCTGCCATCTGTCTCACATGTGGAGTTAACAATACTTTTCCTTGGCATTTTTAATTCTCCCTCTTCGAACTCTACGCTTTTTTTATTTAATTTATTAACTTTATTTTTTAATATTAATTTTTTTATGAATTATATATTTTTCTTTATTTAGTTTGGTATTACTATTATTTTTAAATTAAAAGAAACATTTTATTATTTGAATGAATTAATATTATTTTTTGTCCTATTGAATATTATCACTTAATTTTTATATATTGCTTTACTATAACTAATTATCACAAAAAGAAAACATAAATTTCTTATGAACCTTTGATAGTATTAATTTTAATTTAATTTAAACAATATATGAATTTAATTATTAAATCAAATCCTCAGTAAAAATGTTTCTTTTAGTTTAGAAATAATTATGATATTAAACTGTTATTTTAAATGGAGAAAAAAATAAAATAAACATGTTTCAAAAAAATTAAATACAAAATAACACCAATAAATTAAACGAAGTACGTGATAGGCATGAACAACGAGAATAGAAAATATCAAAGGAAGGGAGCGTAAACCCCTGGCATGAGACAGATAACATACTAAATGCTGTTTTTTCCACTTTCATACGAGGCTTTTTCCATCTCTTACAACAGAGCTTTTGCCTTATTCAAATAACAGATTCACAAACGCGCCAGACGAAGGATGACTTCAACGATAGCACAGTTTACTGACAAATATTATCTATTTTAAATTAAGACTCTCACGAAGTTAAAGTATGTATGTTTATAAATCTAATATTACTTATATATTTTACCAATAAGGGATTTATCTAAGATGATACATACACACTCCTTTGTACTCAACGTTCAAGTATGTATGTTTATAAATCTAATATTACTTATATATTTTACCAATAAGGGATTTATCTAAGATGATACATATACACTCCTTTGTACTCAACGTTCTCGTTGAAATTTGTTCAACTACCATTCAAGATTATACAAAAAATAATTCTGATACCATTTTGTCATAACCAAACTTAATAGTAAATATTATTTATTTTGTATTAAATGCCTTATAATTTTAAAATACGTTTATTATGATTAATGCATACATGTTTATAAATTCAATATCCCAACCGTGTACCGTGTTGTCAAGTGAGATTTGGCCAAAATATTATGACTTTGTTACGAAAGTGTAGTTTACAGTAACATGTCCGCGGCGGAAAAAAGGTCCTTATGCTGCCGCCTAAGGCTTTCAAGGTAATCGGTGAAGGTGTGCAGGTACTTGTCTTGCCTCTCCTTGTCTCCGACTATCGCCTTCATCTCTTTCGTCTTATCCCTGTCAGTCTTTCCTTCCTCTTCAACAATCACCTGCTTCAAAGTCTCTACCACCGCTTCCCTCCTGAACGATCCATCTTCTTCGTCTCTTCGTATCTCCAGCCCAACCTCGTCATCAAAAGCTTCAGCGTTCAGTCCTTGATCTGTCCAGAGGGGCAGCATGATGAGTGGTCGCCCAAACTGGAGTCCCTCGATGATCGAACTCCAGCCGCAGTGAGTCAAGAAACACCCACCGAGTCATGGCCTAGTATCTTCAGCTGAGGAACCCAGCCACGCCACACTGCTCCCCTGCTCTTGGTCCGCTCCTCCAATCCCTCCGGCAGCTTTACCGAGTCGGACTAGCCCGATCCCGGCGGCTCCCTGAGTGCCCACAAGAAAGCTAGCACAAAGAGTTCCAAACCCAGGGCTAGCTCAGTGAGTTCCTCTTGACTTAACGGTGACTCGCTGCCCAACGCCACTTAAACCACCGATCCGGCACGTTGCTACCCAGCCACTCGCTGATGAAACCCAAGTCCGCTTTTTTCGTCTCCGCTGTCTTGCAGGGAAGGGGGAATTAACCCAAGCGGAGTTACGGGTTTGTCGGGCATTTCTCCCAGCAGGTCCAGCCATTGGGATTCGACTTCTGGACACTGCCGCACCGCGAGAACGTTGCACCCGGCAATCGTCGACCAACCGGTATGGATCCCAAACTCCGGAGGCGTTTTTTCCTCCCGCCGAGAATAACCGCTTAATCTCGAAAGGTCGAAACACTATCTTCGTGGGAAATCGAACACACTCCGGCGGGACAGTAAAATCTTCTGGTTTGGACCAGGGGTCGGACCCGTTAAGCAGCATCGATGATGAGCCGAGGAAGGCGGGAACCACGCTGCCGCGATGGAGAGAAAGGCGGTCGGAATTCCGAGCTCTGCGGTGATGGGCGGCAGCCAATGAGACGCGAAATCATGAAGGATCCAATCTGCGCAGTATGAACGGAGGAATTGAGCCAGTTCCGCTGCGAGGCCGTCATAGGCCTTTTTGAGATAGTGGATATCTTCGGATCGGACGCCCATGGTGGCCTCCGCATTTGCGGGGATCTCCTCGACGCGTGGCAAGGCTAGCTTCACGAAGTCTACGAACAGGGATAACTGTGGAGGTGGCTTGGGGAGGCGCTGGATGTTTCTGTGGGTGGAGACAAAGGAGACTTTGTGGCTCCCTTGTGCTAGGAACTTGGCGAGCTCGAGGTAGGACAACATATGGCCATGGCAAGAGCATACATGCATCTTCCTCCTCCCGTCTGTGTTTGGTTTGTGAGGGAACTCCATTATTAAGTCTATCGTGAAAGATGGGTGACTCTTGCCCCGCAAATAGCATACATAAATAATGAAGTGGGTAGTTGCTTGGTAGCAAATTAGCAATATTACAAAATAGAAGGATAATTTTACACTTTTTTTTTAGAGGAAAACGACTGGGTTCATTTCATTTATGAACTTAATTATGCGTTTTACTTAATAAATTTGTTTAACTTATAATAGTAGTATAGATAATTTTTTTATTCTTATGTTTATTTATATTTTAATGTATTTTTAAATAGCAGTCATCTTATATCTTTTTAGTTGAATATTTTATTTGGATGTGTTATAAAATAGATTAAATTTAAACTTGAAGTGCTATAATTAATTTATAAACAAAAACATTCACCACAAGTTTATTGACAAGGGACAAATAATTTAATTTATTTCGGGGTCACGTGGGCAAAGGCAAGCGACGCAAGATGCACCTGCTTACTGTCGTCAAATCTGTGGTCGGTCGGAGTGCAGATGGGGAACCCATGGCAGCTGTACTATTTATAATTCTCAAAACGAAGTGAGTAGGTAGTGTAGCAATACCAAATACCACTAGTTTTTCATTTCTTTTCACCTCTTCATTTTGATCTTCTATTGTATCGCTCAAAGAATCACCTCAAAAATATTATAAAACTAAAACTTAAAAATGAACCAAAATATATTTAACAATATCTAAGTTTTGTTTTTGTTTAACTATAATATATATATATATATATTAAATTGACAAATTTTTTTTACTATTTATCAATTCATGAAATTATATTTTTCAGTATAAATAATTATTATGTGTAAATAATGTGATATATATTTATTTTATATTACATTAAATTTTTATATATTTTTATATTTTATATTTAATACATTTCAATCTAAGCAACTTTGACCTATGACACGAGTACTAATTTGATAGAAAAGATTGGTTCCTTTGAAATAAAAAAAAAAATAGATAATACTGCTCTCAAATTCCATCAATCTATCTAAATTGTACATTATTGTCGTCTTTGAGAGCGATAATAGATAAGTTTATTTAATATTAAGTACTAGTGCAAAGTTTATTTAATATGATGTGATGAAAAACAAAAAATTTATTTTTCTTTTTTGCGTTTTCTGTTCATAGTTAGAAAACAAGGGTTTTAGAGATGTATTAAGCCGACTATGGTGTCCAACCTACTTATTATTATTTTTATGTAACATATAATTTTTTTATCAAAAGAATTAAATTTTAAAAAAATTAATTTGGGAATAAAAAAAATTCAAATGAATAAATTAAATTTTTTATGAAATTAGAAAAATAGATTTTTTTCTTACTTCCTGCTCTAGTATTTATTTATTTATTTTGGACACAAGATTGAGTTGAACATTAATCTGCGCACTCTTAATAACAAATAAAAAATTAATGTTGAACGATTTGTATTTGTATATTCACATCTTCTAATATGGACAAGTCATATGGCAGAAGGAAATTAGGTCTATATGTAAAACCCTGAATTTTGAGATAATTAAATAATTAAAATGTTAAGGGGGACATTGAAAGAATCAAGAAATTGGGGGGCTTAATTAAAAATTTAAGAGATTTAATTGAATGAAACAGAACTTTGAGGGACTAGATCACGAGAGAATGAAATGTTTGAGGATTAAATTGCAAAAATCACAAAATTTAATCTAGAAACCGTAATTGTTAAACGTTTGGAATTTGAAAAATTTAAAATCATTGATTTCGCGTTTAATTTCAAACGTTTTGATTAAAGCTCCTTTATAATTTCGTGCGATAGGGATCAATTTGCAAAAGCCCCAACTTAATTTTTCAAAACAACTCAAAGGATTAGGGAATTTTTGACTGGTTTGCTTTCAAGGTTCATCTGCCATTAACAACCTTCCGAGCTTAATTTCAATAAGTTTCAATTGATTAAAAGTCGATTGAATTGTTCCCAGCTTTCGATTGTCCATTCCGAGCAGTGTGGAGGAATCAAATTTAAGAAAAAATTACAAAATTTGAGGTAAATTGATTAGATCTCTCATTTGTGTATTCTGTAATTTCAGGTTAGGAAGATGTAACCCGGTTGGGTTTCGGGTAATGGTGTCACGGCCCAAACCTCGGGCTCGTGACCAGCACTAGGGTCCCCAACCCTAGTTAGCCACACAACATCACACCATGCTTAAAAACTAAACAAAACATATATAACATCTTATGCAACACAAATATAATGCTAGAATTCTATCTGAATAGTAAAGGAGCTCTAGAGTGCAAACAGAAAAAAACAAAAGAATATGCCCATACATCAGTCAATTTGCAGATGACCGCTCTGACTTCGGCACACTACTCGACAACAGCAACCCAATCTAGAATGTTTATAAAATGTGAGTCATGAAACTAAGTGAGTACAGATGATATTTAGTATATGTATGTTGGGATATGTGTCACGCCACATGTCCAAACCATACATATACATACATATATATAATGAACAATACTATCATCAAATATACATATGTGGGAGTACAATGATCACTGTGACTCCAACCACGATCGGAGGAATTCTTCATCCCACAATCAGGCTTAACATAATCACAAACCACGCTCCTAGTCGAGAGGCATTCTCCATCTCACGACCGTAAAAACACGCCCATTAGGGCAACCATACCACGCTCTCGGTCGAGAGGCATCCTCCATCTCACGACAGTAGCAACACACCCACTAGGGCAACCATACCACGCTCTTGGCTGAGAGGCATCCCCCATCTCAAGACCGTAGCAACACGCCCACCAAGGCAACACGCCCACCAAGGCAACCATACCACACTCTTGGCCGAGAGGCATCCTCCATCTCAAGATCGTAGCAACACGCCCACCAAGGCAACCATACCATGCTCTCGGTTGAGAGGCATTCTCTATCTCATAACCGGAGCAACACAATCTTAGTGCATCACCGACTCCCCACATTTCAAATTCAACAGATATACACATGCATACATAGTCATGTCATGAAAATTGATAACAATATATTAACATATTGACAGAGCTCACTAACAGATAATAAAACACATAACACATATCCCAAGTATAACATATGACAAAATACAGTTTATAAACCACAAAATCATCATGCTGTAAAACAAAGTATGAAAAACACATGCATAGAGAGGGCATCATCACTCACAGTATAAGTCGAGTCAAAAAGAGAAGTCTCGAGTCACCTCACCCAACTCAGTGGTCCAGGTGTGCCTCTGCCGGTGAATCTGCAATTCGAACCACACAAAACCATCACCATCACCAAAATTAGCAAAAGAAATGGACTCGATAGTCTAAAACCAGGCTTAAATCCCAACTCAACACCCTTGGCACGCATCTCAATGCACCACTACCCATCACCGGGACCTACATGACTCACTAATACTCAATAATTCTGCTCAACAACCCTCAACAAAAGTGAACTAGCCTCTTCAACCCTCGAACCATAGTGAACTGGCCTCCAAAACTCTTGAACTCGCTTAACCAGCACAAAACTATCTCAAACTCAACTAGATCAGCCACGAAACCCTCAAAATCGGATTTAGGATGTCTTAAAACCCTAAGAACTGGCCTAAACCAGCCAAAAAAGTCCTAAACTGGCCCTGAATTGAGCCAAGGACCCTAATCCTAAGCATCGGCACACGAACTAAGCCTGGTTCACTTTGAACCGGGCACCCAAAAATCACAAACTGCATGGTTAGCTAGGTTTCATCATTTGAACTAGGAATCGATTCAACTTCCCCAAGAACTGGCCCAAAAACTGGTGAACCAGTTGCCTAAAGGGCGTTACACTAAACTGGCTAGTTTACCTTGAATCAGCCACCCAAAATTTTCCAAACCCCTCTGATCTGATAGCCCTCATTCCACTGGACTAGGAACCAGTCCATTTGCCTAGAGAACCAGCCAAAAAAGCCTTGAACCGGTCGATTAATCCTTCGGTCAATCCTGGCTGGTTCATCTATCCAAAACCCCAACTCTTTATATTTTATTATTAAATTCTAGTTTATTAAATCCTTATTATCCCTAATCAACCCCTATCCCGGCTGGCCTTATCTTCGGGGATAACATATTCCAACATTCTTTGAATCAACCCAAATGGTTTGACTTGTTTTCAAAAAAACGCGGGGTTGAGTTGACTTTCCGAGTTAACTCGGCCCAGTCTCCCGGGCCCGTCAAGTCTGGGCTAGCCCATGGCCTAGACCGCGGATCCTCTTTCCCTTTAGCCAGGCCAGGTCTGGCCTAAGCCGGCCTGGCCCGACCCGACCCAGCTAGGATAAGACTCGGACCCTTCTGAGTCCTGTCTTCCTCACCTAGCAACCCAGGTCTCAGACCCGGTTGTTTGTAACACCAATCGCCAACAGGAAAAACAAACAGAAGCTCAAAAATAGCTTACCTCGATCCAATAACGCCTAGATAACATAAACCCAAGCTAGATGAATCAAGCTTTAAGATCGAACAATCTTCCAAATCAAAGCCCAGAAATCGAAAGAAAATCCCTCACAAGCCAGACGGACTGCCGACTTCTTCCAACCTCAAATTCTACCTCTCTCTCACATGATTTTTGAAATTTGCTGCGGGCCTGGGTTCGCCTGTCTAAATAAGCCGAGATGGTGCAAAAATCTCGAAGCAATCGCTGAACTTCGGCTTGCGTCAATCAATCAGTTGACGACCGAATTCGCAAAATTTTTTTCAAACCAAGCCCTCAGTACTTGTTTTTATTTTGATTTAGTCGTTCCTAAAACTTGATTCGTCCCCAATCTTTTAAATTCATTCAATTAGCCCCCTCTTTACTTGATTAATTACTAATATGCTAATTATTAGGATCTTAGGTCATAACAAATGGGTTTGGGTTCCGATTTCCTTGTAATGGGCTGGAGCTTTGTTGGGCCGTGTACTGGCCTATTTGAAATGGGCTGAAATGATCAAAT